TATATATATTAGAATTTTTGTTAGTTCGAAACGATGATCGGAATGATTTTAGGGAAAAATCATTAGTCAAGATTGTAAGAAAAAATCATGACGAGATAATCGTTTTCCATTGAGTTTAGTGAATATTTTTGAATGTGGAATACAATTAAAGTAACGATAATGGTAAAACTGATACCATATAACAATTGCTATATTATTCCATTGTAAAAAGGAAGAATTGAAATAGAGAGGAAAAAAATGTCTGTAGATTTTTTTTTGTTCTATTTATTTTTCTTTTCAACATCGATTTTCTTTGAGACGTACTCGTTTAACTGTTCCTGACAATGCCTTTCGTGTTTCCTACGAAGCCTTTCTCCTACGATCGTCTGTCTTCGACAACGCCGAGTTCCTAACTTGGATTTATTATTCTTGGCTCTCCTTCGTTTAGGAATCGTCATCGAGAAGTAGTTTTAAACTGCAAAGGAACCTTTTTATTTCTATGTTTTTTTTTCTTTTTTTTTTTTTTCAATTCTTATCTTTCTCTCTCTCTCTCTTTCTTTCTTTCTTTCTCTTGAGTATCGCTTGTTTAATCCTATGAAAAATTAATAGGATAACTTTTTCTAGGACACTCGTTGAAAGCACATCCCATTGATCTCTGTCCAATGACACTTTTTCACTTTCTCTTATTCTTTTTCTTTTAGTTTTAATTTTCTTTTACTTAGATTTTCTTGAATTCGTTTTAAATTGAACATAGGAGAGCAGAAGTTGCGATAACATTGGTGAAATTTGAAATCTGTTGGAAATACATGTTACCATATGCCATCATCGTATTTACGTCTGATCATTTAAACACGTTTTCTGTATGCTTCGGGTCTTACACATTCGGAACTTTCCGTTAATGCGATTTGAAATTTTCCCTATTTATATTTAATTACTTGCGGGAATATGGGGATGGGGATGGGGATGGGGGAGGAGAAGGTTTCGCGTGTACAACTCATGTGGTTTTAATGAAAAGTCACATCGAAAATCGATTCAACGGGCAACGGAGATTTTAAGTTTTCATTAATTATTCATACGCGTATTTATTACTCGTTATATTTGATCGTCTATGGAAAACGCACACACACAATGTTAATATATACACATATATTCTTTCTTTTATATTACAGAAGCAGGAACGCGGAACGTGTAGCAACTTTGAGACTAGAAATGAGTTGAGAATCGGCTACGATGTTGAGTCGTTTGTCGGCCGTGGTGGCCTCCATTTTGGTTCACCAGGTACACTTTTTGTGCACCGCAAATTCTCAAGGTAAGAACGATCAAATATTATATTATAATTCGAATCATCCAATGAGCCAAAAAATTGGGATCATTAAAGGTTTATTATTTAGAGCATTGACATTAAGTAGTAAAGAATTCCATACAAAAAATAAGAAAAGAATTGAGCTAATCTTAAAAAATAATTATTACCCCAAGAGTCTCATACACATGGTGTTTAATAAGTTTAAAATAGATAAAGATCACAAAAAAGAACAGAACAGCAAGAAAATTATCAAGTTCCCGTTTATCAAACCTTTGTCGAATAAAATAAATAAATGTTTTAAAAATACTAATGTGAAACTAATATTTTATAACCTAGTTAAAATAAACTCAATATTTACAAAACTAAAGGACAAGGTTGATAAACTAGAACAATCGAACTTAGTTTATAAAATACCATGTGAATGTGACAAATGTTACATAGGACAAACCAAGCAAAAATTAAAAAAAAGATTAGAACAACATAGGAATGATTGTAAATCTACGAATGTACAAAAAAAAATAATACTAATGCGTTAGCCGAACACCATTTCAAAACAGGACACAAATTCAAATTTGAAGATGCAACCATTTTAGACAGAGAAGACAACTGGTACAAAAGGAATATAAGCGAAATGTACCACAAAACGAATAACAATACAGTTAACTATAGGACAGACACGAACAATTTAAACAACATCTATAATGAAATTTAAAAATTCAATTATCATAACAGGACACACAAATAGAGGACATCATAATACTGAAAATACCTAGATTATTAAACACTAGTCTAGATAGAATCAGTATTTGATTACGTGTGATAAGATAAGATGTTTAGGAATAAATTGTATTGTAATATGTTAAGTATTATTGAAATGTATGACTCTGAAAGAAAGTGTAAAGAAACTGTAAAGATCGAGGTAAAAAATTATTGTAATTTATTGTAATGTTTTACATAGATTAACAAGTCATAATAAAAAAATTTGTTAGTTGCTGATGAAGTCTCAAGTAAGGGACGAAACGTACAACTGGTTCAAAAATAAATTGTTCATAAGATTTAACAACCGTCCAAAATTCCCTTTGAGACTTATATTAATAATATTTATTTCTGGACAAGAATATTGATAATTCAATTATATTCAACCTTGTTTCCCTTTTTCTTTTTTTTTTTTTTATTCTTATCGAAAATAATACTATCGGTAGACAATTTTGTATCCTCTTTCTCTCTCTTAATAAAAAATTACACATAAATTTGTGTGTACTTACGAGTAAAAGAAAAACGAACACATTTTATATTTTATTAAGTGTTTAAAATAGCGAATTAGTTTACCAACGAGAATTTCAATGAATGTCCCGAGAATAATACGTTGAGTTTCGGTTAAGAAGTTTTTTTTCTTTGCTGTATAAGATGAAAAAAAAAAAAAAAGAATAGGAAGAAAAAACGGGGAATAAAATATATTTCATTGCAATGGAAAATGATTGGGAAAGGGGGAAAGATTATAGGTGCTGAATAATGAGCCACAGATACTGAATGCCTTTCGCTCGAGGCTGCAGACATTGTCCTATAATTTTCCAATTAAGGCATTGGATTCTCATAAATTTTAGGACCTTCGACAGAAACCATAAATTCAATGTCGAGCGACAAGTCGTGTGCGGTGGGTCTAATCGTACTTTTAGACTCCAGACGGTCCTTACATTACGAAAGGGGAACGATGAAATCGAGACTACTGAGAGAGAGAGAGAGAGAGAGAGAGAGAGAGAGAGAGAGAGAGAGAGAGAGAAAGAGAAATAAAAAGAGAAAAGAAAATGATAGTAAAAGAAGGAAGAAGGTTGACGATGAATATCGATTAACGGATCCTTCCGAGACGGCGTAAAAATTCTATTCTCCCATTTTTCCAAAGTAGAAGAACAAAAAATTACTGCGATTGCATACGCGTCAAAACAAATGCCCAATTTCTTTTTTTCTAATCTATTTCGAAATCTCGTTAACACGTTTTTATCTTATTAATTTTTCCGTTTCTTCGGATTTTCTTCTATGCTTTTTTTTTATTTTATTTTAATTTCTTAATAAACAACTCTTTAAAAGTTGGGGGGGGGGGAGGTCTTTTAATTTAATCGTAAAATTTTGTACGAATTAAACGTTATTGTCGATACTTATTAATTAATGCAAACAAACATCTTTTTTTATTTTTTTTTTTTGAAAATAATATATAACTCTTTAAATTACAAATGTGATTACACGAATAATTTAATAACAAAAAAAACGTAAGTAAATTATTAGAAAAAAAAAATAATAAAATGTTGAATATAGGTTATAGGAATATACAGAATATAGCGTGTAATGTTTAAACATTATTTGTTTTTTTTTCAAATCTAATTGAAACGGTTGACACCTTTCAAAAACATAATAAATATACTCGTGGATGTTTTAGAAAGACGTATTTCGAAATCCTAACCAGTAACACCGGATTTATCCTTCATAGTTTTGAGATTATGTGCTTCGTCTTTTCAAACGGATATTTGAAGTCCGTTCGGTTTCTATCCTTTTTCTCGTGAGTGGGTTGGTTATCTCTTTGCTAACGGTAGAAAATTCAACTCGTGAGATTGGTCCTGTTAGAAAGAACGTGGGCTTCCTCTCACTCTAGTTGATAAATTTTCTCGAGGATTATCCTGTCGGTTCTTTGGAAAATACCGGGGGACCTACCTATCTGAAGTGACTTCGAATGAGTGAAAGAAGAGAAAAAGAAGAGGATAGATAAAGATATAGATAAAAAAATATATATATATATATATATTATATATAGATAGATAGATAGATAGATAAAAGTAAAGAATAGGTTTCGAATTAGTAACAAAATCGCCGATCGTCTTAAATTCGATGAAAAATAATTCTCAGATGTTAGTCGTAACTCTTTATTTCTCTCTCTCTCTCTCTCTTTCTCTCTCTTTCAAAGAAGATCCTCCAAAAAGCTGACAGCGATTGCAAGCTTCGGAAATGAGAAAGAACAGGGTAGTATCTACTATCTTTATTCGCGAGAGAAACCGCGAGTCACCGAATTTGATCGAAAGATATTGCACTTCTTTCTTTATCTCTCTATGTGTGTGTGTGTTTGTGTGTGTGTGTGTATGTGTTCTTCAAATTCTCTAGCTGTTCTTCTTCTTCATCTTTCTTCTTCTTTATTTTCTCTATCCACTTTTTCTCTCGCTCAAACCATCCCCAAAGATTCTACCTCTATAAGAGAAATGAAATTGCTCTCTCTCTCTCTCTCTCTCTCTCTCTCTCTCTCTTTCTCTCTTTCTTTCTATTTTTTTTTCTTTTTCTTCTTCCAGCATTTGAATCAAAGAACTTCTCGCGAAAAAGTGACTTTATTACTTCTTTTTCTTCTTCTTCTTCTTTTTCTTCTTCCTGGATCATTCCTATTCTTTTTCACGATGTGTTTGTGTGAGCCAAGGCATGTAAAATGTATTTTAAGCGTTCCCAAGTATGCACATCTTGTTCCAAAGAAAAAAGGCGGTAGAAAAGAGATTCGATTTTATTTATTACGATCTTATGATATTTTTTTTTAAATGCTGAAATTATATCATATATTCGTATTTTTGATATGTTGTTCAAATATATACGTTATTTATAATAGAAATGAACATAATACGTATTCGTGTTTTAATTAATTTCGCGATGTATTCATTGGCGGTATTGAATTTGTTCAATTCGTATATACATTTGTGTATTTTATTATAGAATTAATCTTTCTTGATAATAATGATAATTATAAATAATATATATATAAAAAGAAAATGCAACATATTAATAATACAATTGAAAACAATAATTATTCACGATATTACTGTAATAATACATTTCTTTTAAGAATCTAAAAAGAGGGAATAACGAATATAAAGAAAATATAATATTAAAAATAAAAATAATTCAATTCAACATAATTCAATGACGATATAATTGTACACCGTAATAGAATATAAAAAAAAAAACAAAAAAAAAAATAACTACTGAACGCTAATGATATACTTATATAATACGGTCTTCTTTTTTGTACAAGAATATCGAACAAAACTATGGAATGATATATAAAAAAAAAAAAAATAATAATAATGAAAAGAAAACAGGAGTACTTAAATAAATAAAAAAGAAACGAATGAGAGATATCACCTCGTTAGCAGGAAATCAATGCTTATCTCGAGCCATTATTATCCGTAATTAGTAAAACTGTTCTATCGTGTGTTCGTTGCTATGGGAACGTATGACGCATAACAAGGAATTGATGCTTGGTTGTGGGACCACATGCATACTCGACGTCTCCATGGTAAAAGCGAGATGCGAAAAGCTCTCGATTGCGAAACACGTGAAGAGAATCGAATTAACAGGGCTACCACATTCGCTATTCAAACTGCATGTTGCCTAAAGGGGATCATGAAATGAAACAACGCATTTAGTCTTAAGAACAATTCTTTGTTTTCTATTGGATGTGTATCGTTTTAATCGAAACATTTATATTATTATATTTCCATAATTTCATTTGATTTACTCTGAAATTCTATATTTTATCATTGTTTTGTTAATAATTGACAAAATATTGTCACATTGAACGAATCGAGAAATATTGAAAGATATTAGAAAGAATTTATTGATTGAAATATATTTTTGTCAAGATTTTGTTCATAGTGTTGCGTAAATAAAAAAAAATCATGCTTCTTGTCCATTATTTCTGATCACATTTGTATTCACTTATTATACATTTTATTATTGGTCTCTCGTTTTATTACTTTTACTTAATAAACTTTATTCGCTTGTTGATATTTAATATTACATTTGTATTTAATAAAACTGATTTGCTCTTTATTTCTTATGTCGAGAGTTGAAATTATTACCAATTCCGGTTGGAAATAACTTCGTCAATTACAAAGTTAACATTGCTTAAGTAGATTACGAGTTTTTTCATATTTCGAATTGGCTTTGAAACGTGTCATTTGTGAAAATGAAACAACACAAACCAATTTATTGTGCGAACCCGCATAAATAGCATTAAACAGAATGATTTAACAAATAGTTATTAACTCGAAAAAGTATTATCATTATTATCAAACAACACTTTTTTGCAAAATTACTTTATCAATAAATTTGATTATTATCGTAAAATATCGCGTCACCTCATTATACTCTGCATCGATTCAACCGGCAAAACCGGTATTAACGTTGCACAAAAATTGAGGTCATGCAATTGATACTTTTTATGAAGAGTAAAAAAAAAAGTATTCTCTTTTTGGAAGTTCCGTTATATGAATTTATATATTGAAAAAAGGGAATATTATTTTCTTTGATCGAAAATAGAAATGGTATTTAAATGAAAAAAAAAAACAAAAAATAGAAAATAAATATAAAACGAATCTCGAATCGATTGGAAACGACAAATAACGAAAGTCAGATGAAAGAGAAAAATATAGAAAGAGAAAGAGACAGAGACAGAATCAGAGAGAGAGAGAGAGAGAGAGAGAGAGAGAGAGATAGAAAAAGGGAAAATTCATTTTCCATAAAACGAAATGTAGTTCGTGATAGATTTTGGTTATAGTATACAATCGATTTACCTATGTACTTACTTACTTACCTATATAGTCACGTTGTAGATGTATATATATATATGTGTGTGCCATTAAGAAGTATACAAAGTCATTTTAAACGATTGCAGGCGTGAAGCCAGTTCCCGGACTGGAAAACCTGCCGAGGTCGTTCTGGCGTGAGCTCAGTTCACCCTTTACCGAGGTAAGTTTTGCGCACGGTTAAACTCGGAACGTGAAGTTGCCTTTCGGAATCGGGATGCCGATCTAAATTCGTTTCTCTCGTTTTCGACCTTTCAAAGAGCAACGTTTCTATACGCGTTTGTGGTTTTCGAAGGAGCGTTGACGTCATTTCGGTATGCGTTTCACTTCTCGTTTCGTGCCACCAACTCCATTTCGAGTATCCATTTTGCGTAGAGATGCATGTCTCTTTATATGCGTGTGTATTATATATAGTATAATACGTCCATGCATCTACGCAATATATGTATATATATATTTTATATAATATCGTATTTCAAATCCTCTTTTTTTTGTTTGTTCACTTTTAACTCGGTTATATCATCACATTTTTTCATTCCCTTTTCGCGTTTATTAATTTATTTATTTTTTTTTTTTCTCAAATGTTATTTAAATGAATTGTTATTATCGTCAATTAAATTCTATTCCTATTTGTATTTTGTTTATTGCTTTTTTCTTTTTCTTTTTTCTTTTATATTAGAAATATCGGTGAAAAAATAATATTGATAATTAATTTGTTGCCTTTGTAATTATTAGATATGGAAATAATGAAAATTTTCTTTTCAACGACAACGGGAAAGTATTTACGATTAATTAATAAAATTAAACACGTGAAAGAGAAGTTTTAAGCTTTAACAAAGTTTCATATAAGAATAAACAAAAAAATAATATAAAAGCTAGAATCTATCGTTTAGTTTTTCTAATTTGTTTTAATTCATCAAAATGTTCTTATTTATCGTTCTTATGTTCATCGAATGATTCTTATCTCGACTGTTAATTGTCTACAAACTCGTGTGACGTCATAGTTATTGTCGTGAGAAAAGAAAAACTAGTTCCAATTTGTACGTCTCCTCGAATTGATTAAACTCGAAAGGTTTTAATCTACCTTCGTAAAACTTCATGTCAGAGTCCCGTTATATTTGACGTTTTTGAAGATCCTTTTTTTACGACATCACGTCCACGTGACCGCGATGCGTTTCAGTATATCGCCTGTAACATCCAACGAACCTCTCCTTCCACCTTCCACCACCACCCCCTTCCCACTTCAGCACACTCATTTTTGCTCGTTTTCCTCGTTTCTCCATCACGCTTTTACATTCACCGGTGTCGTAAAGTTTTTCCTTCACCGATATAATCTATCTTTCGCTTCGTGGTTATCATGATCAAAAAGAAACGTCAAAGTGCTATCAAAAAACTATCTCGCATGAAAATCTTTACACTAAGGCAACCACTCATTTTGCATCTTATTCATCTTATTATTATTATTATTATTATTATTATTATTATTATTATTATCCTTCTTTTTTATTTCCTTTCGTAATATATTTTTTTATTTATTTTATAAACCGTGTTCTCCTCCTCGACGTTTATTTTTCTATATCTAATTCGAAATCTTTTGTTTTATTTTCTTTTTCTATTTTTCCTTTCATAAAAAACATAAAAGAGTACTATCGAATAATAATATCTCGCATAAAAAGTCTTTTCTAAAGCTTTCATTTTCCATCTTATTCTTATTTTTTATTAACCCCTTTATAATTGTATTTTTTTTGTTTATTTAATACATAAAACCACTCTCCTCGCCGTTTCTTTTTTTAATTTTAATTATAAACATTCGCATGTTATATCCTTTTCTCTTGTTTTTTGCTTTTTAAAAACAAAAAAAATACATAAGAGAACGCTATCAAACAATTTTCTCGCATGAAAATCTTTGCAAGGTACAACAACCTCTCATTTTGCATCTTATTATTTTGCTTGCAGGGTTTTATATTTTTTGTTTTTTTTTTTTTTTTTTATGTTTTCATCTATGTTATTATACAGCTCCCTTATTTGAAATGTTAAGATTTTTTTCTATTATATTTTTTTTTTTTTTTCATAATATTCATCGTATACAATTACCCCCATCTCCCATTCCCTTTTTTGATGATATTTTAGCTCGCGCCTATTACGAGCAAGCTAGCTTTTATACGTCATGCCTAATAAGGGACCGAATTGGAAATTCGTTGGGAGGGGGGGGGGTTGATTCGTCGATAATGCAATGCAATGCAAATAATAAGATAAATGCATAATAATAAATTTGCCCTACCGCTACGAATTTATTGAAAATATATTGTGAATGTAATTTCGCATCGAGTTTAAAGTTCGCCGACCTGAAATTCATTCGTACGATTCGTAAACCACAGCTGGTAGATCGATTCACGAATATCGAAAGGATAGAAAATTCAAAGTATACCTTTCGCAAAAAGGGAAAGACCCTTTTAATCTGAATCGTTTCTTTTTCTTCTTCTTCTTCTTCTATCATATTAAAGATTACTTATTTGCACGATTATTCGAACATTTAAATATCAAAATTATAAGGAAATGATTTTTCCACAAGAGTTTCATTTCAAAAAACCATAAATACGAGCTCGAAATGAAAATGTTATTCTTATCATCGTAATACGGCATCGATAAGCAAAAATGGGAAAAAGGAAATATGGATTGCTTATCAAACGGCTATTATGCAAACGTGTTTGTTATAGATAAATGATTAAATTAAGTGAGACCATATCTTGTTTCTTTTTTCATTTTCCTTTTCCCTTTTCCTTTCGACATTTTCACTTCGAACGAGAATGTAAATAGAGAACCGGGAATAGTTTTTAACGAGCTGACATCACGGGTGATTCATTTTATTGACCCCGTTTCAAAGTGAGAAAGAGAAAATCGATTTATTTGTACTGCCCTAGTCGAATTTTTATTTCAAAAATGAAAAAAAAAAAAAAACTTAAAAGAACAAAAAACAAGAAAAGGAAAAACGAGACGGAAATATTAAAAGTAAATTATTTGAGAGAATAGTGAATTTTTTCTTTTTTTAAATTATTAAATATATTGTTATAAAACTTCTACAGGGGTTGTTCTGTATTTAACGTAGAAATAAAAAATAAACCAACACTGCGTTTAACATTTTTTTTTTTTTTTTTACTGTAAAATAAAATCTTTTCTTTTGCGTTTTATTTTTTTTTTTTTTTTAATTCATTCGTATTCGTAAAATATATTGGTGAATTTTAATTTTTTTAATTTGGTACACCATATATATATATATTATATATATATACGACTGCATATTCAATATATGTATTTGTTACGTGTTTCAGTTATTACATTCGATTTAATTTACAGGTGTACGAGGAGGACAATTTTGCAACCGAAACCGGTGCAACGCCCGAGCCAAGGCCGTTTTTCGAAGATCCAGAAAGCAACATTACAGTGCAGTTAGGTGCACAAGTACACATGCACTGTAGAGTACAAAATTTGCAAAAGAATTTGAAGGTAAGTTAGAGATGACGATTTTTATTTATTTGTTTATTCATTTTTATATATACGTAGATCTATTAATTCTTTTCATTGGTAACAATTCATATATCGTTCAACTACACTTTAGTGTACGTGTTATCGAAATAATAATAATAATAATAATAATAATAATAAAATATATGCGAGTGTCAGATGTTTTTTCGTACAAACGTTATGTGAGCGTACAGTTATTTAAAACTTTATTCAAAAGTTATAAAACATGAATTGTAGAAGTGTTTTTCTGTTCAAAATGTTACCCACTTACGCGAATACGAATTTGGCACCGATTTATTATGGTGTTTATGACATGGCAAATTTTTCGTTGATTTCTATTAATTTCTACAATTGCATCCCTAATTCATTTTATACTAATATCAAATATGGCTATCTCAGTTACATGAACTTTTTGTTTTATTTTCTTTCACGAATAAAAATCTAATGAAGTTAGGTTAGATGTTTTAGACGGGCCATGTTATTGTTCAGATAGTATACAACATATGCAAAAGCACTAAACATCATTTTTGAGTAACACATTTATACAGCTTTACAATTTATAATATAATTTTTTAATCAAGCTTTAAATGAATTATGCTAATATATAAAGCACATTTTTTAATATTATTTTCTAGCGTAGAATTTTTGCTCGCAACGTTTCTATGGAAAAACATTTGAAACTCTTTATGTGTGTGTGTATGTAACACGTACATTCATTTATAAAACAACTGTTAAATCTAGAAATTCTCTCACATCTCTTAATAGTTATTTTGTATATTTATTTTTAAATAAAAACCACCGATGTGGTCCGTATATAATATTTGATTTTAAAATAATTTCCGAACAAAATGCGAATTTTATCTGGAAATGTTATTTACTCGATTGAAAATTTTTCGACATTTTGAGGACGGGAGAAGGGGGAGGGGATACTAGAGGGCTGGGGATGTATTTTACATTCTGTTCATTCAAATTAATTTAGAATAATTACGTCGATGTTAAACCTCCGATTTTCGAGCTTTTTTATTTAACCAAATATAAAAGAAATAAAGTGAAATAACGTTGAATAATTCACCATTAAAATACAAAAATATGGAGATGATAAGCGCGTTATTCGAATAAACGTTTGAAATTTACTAATAAGTTTGATAATTCTCGTTGATTTATGGGATACTTTCAAGTGATCTTTGTTTTGTTCATCATTTTTGTTCTTTTGTTTTTTTGTTTTTTACTCTCGTGCCAGGTTTCATCGAATTTATTTATTTTACAATTTTTTATCGTTCCTGTTGTTATTTTGTTAAGGTTATTATTGGTTTCTCACGGTTGAACTTTCCAACCATGTAATTCCTATGTCTCTTATCATCCTTTTTACGTCAACGTAAATACGAAGGTATATATTACATACATAAACGTACACGTGCAAGATATTATACATATATATGTATCATACAAATTCTTTCGAATTCTTGTATAGTAAATTCGAGCTAGAAATATTATCTTTTTTGTTAATTCCACAGTTTTAGAGTATTATCATAAGGAATTACTAATACGAAGAGTAAGAGAGTTGAATAATACTTGTTTAAAATTGAATGTAAGTAATATGGTAGAGAATTTTACTATCAAAAAAAGAAAAATCATTCAATACAATAGTAAAGAATATAATAATAATAATAATAATAATAAAACTACACTATTCGCATTTTGAAAAGAGTGTACTGTAAAAACTGTCGATTAATGGGAGATGAAAAAAACATTGGTAGATATGTAAATTGACGAAAAACGAGAATAGCGTCACACGAAACGTCAAACATCATTTCGTAGGATATAGAAACGTTATTTTCTGGTAGGTGTGTGCGTATGTATAACACGTATATGTATCCTAAATATGTTGGTATGTGACGATACATTTATCTTATAGTTATGTCCATAAATTGTTGTCAGCATTTACTAATCCGTGCGAAGCTTGCTATGCTTTAGAAGCTGTCTACGAACGACGAACGTGAAACGTTTTGCTCGTTCACCGTAGTGGTCCTCGGAATTCAATCTTTCTAAGTGGGACAACGGTAAATCGACCAAACAAGTTGTTCTGCACGGTTAGATGAAAGAGAGAGAGAGAGAGAGAGAGAGAGAGAGAGAGAGAGAGAGAGAATGACGCCTGCATTCGCTGAAGTGTTTTCAACTGCATCGACATATACTTCTTTCGCTTTTAAAATGATCATCGTTAAGTGACTTTGGATATTTCGAGGTAACCTCTTGTTTTTCGTCAAATCTAATCAAAATCATTTTTTATTCGAAAACTTTGTACCTACACGTAATTTATATTTTTATAATAGATAATAATTCCATAGGTTTATTTACGTTATTCATTTTTTCATTGATTTATATATATATTAACAATGATTATTTATAAATAATTCGTTAACTTTGGGATTAGTTTGCAAATACATTATATGTTATAATTATTTCATAATTACTTTCAATCAATAGTTCTATCATAATTGCTTATGTTATTTCTCCGATAATATGATATTTGTTTCATGATTATTTAGTATTATATATTATGTCGACAGACATTGATGTGACGAAAAATAAAATAATTTTGAAAAGGGGGTTAACGGTGTTGTTAGCGATTAATAGATATTACAAAAGTTATATTGTAAAAAAATGGGATTAAAATTATATTAGTGAATAAAATTTAATTGTTTTCTAATAATACAATGGATTTTCTTAAAATCATTGTACGGAATATTTCGAATATTATTTTGCATTAATATAATATGTTAGGTGAAATATTTTTATTGTTTGTTAATTTTGATGAGAATCTCTCGTTAATCGATCACGTGAGTTAAGGTGTCTGCGATAAATCGAATTTTCGTTGGTTTCACGCGTGTCCTCTCGCGGAATCGATGCAAAGAGAAGAAGTTTCACATGGACGCTTAAGAAGAGGAGTAGGGTGGAACTTGAAAGTTTTCCCTACGAATTTCCAAGTTCGTTAACTCCAACAAAGCGAGCGTTTGTAACGTTGGCTGCGATCAATAATGTTAATAAGAAGATAACTTTAACTAGTTCTATAGGATGGGGAAGTGAAGGACCAAGTGTGAGAGAGAGAGAGAGAGAGAGAGAGAGAGAGAGAGAGAGAGAGAGAAAGATGGTTGTTGTTCCAGGCGTTTTGTTCCCTGCCAACTACGAAAGAGAGTTTCCAACACGTAAATACACGTGCAGATAATACATTATAAAATACTGCGAAAATTCGATGAGATTTTAAAGAAGAAACGAAAGTGTAAAGGGAGAGAGGAAAGAAACTCAAAAATCGTGATTCTACTTTGTTCTTATTATCGATACTTGAATCTGGACTAGTCACGTCATTTTTAGAAAAGATACTTTTGTTTACAGTTACTAGTTAGTACTACGTGAAAATTCTTGTCACGTTGGTACCACGCTTTTTGCCACCGGGAAAGAAACTTTTTAACTCGACCAAGTCAGACCTATCTCCCTTTCTTTATCTTTATCTTTATCTCTCTCTCTCTCTCTCTCTCTCTCTCTTTTTTTCTCTTACTTTCTTCCTATCTCAAAACTTCTTCTCTTCCATGCTTTTGCAATCAGTTTAACGAGTAAGCCGCGACGACGCTAATTGTGAGCGAAGAGAAACGGCCTCGAATTATTTACGTTCACGCGGAGTCGAGCTTGTTTATCCTGGAAGTTAGTTATCTTCGTTGTTTTGGATCTAGCTGAGGAGAGATGCAATGAATAAATTATCTTACTGCATATTTATATGTGATAATAATAATTTTCTAGTTTACGTCGATACTCTTTCTGTTTGTTTCTTTTCCTTTTTTTTCTTTTTATTTTTTCCCTCGTAATTGTTTCTTCTTTGTATTCAAAATATTATTATTATTATTATTATTCAATTAGTTATTTCTCTCGTCCCCATAAATAAAATTATTAATAAATAAGTATCGTAGGGAAATTGGACATTATAAAGAACTAGAACTTAGTTTTGATTAATTGGACGTTTAGTCCCTTTATTGGGACTTCTTCAGCAACTTAATCTCTAACGTTCAGCGTCTTTTTCATTTGAGCAAAAATTTTTCTTTGAGTGTTCAAATATAACGGATTAAGATATAACGAAGTTTAGATGGTTAGTTTTTCGAATATTACAAGAATGTATGTCTGTTCAAATGAAAAAGACGCTGAACGTTAGAGATTAAGTTGCTGAATAAGTCCCAATAAAGGGACGAAACGTCCAATTAATCAAAACTAAGTTCTGGTTCTTTTTAATGTCCAATTTCCCTACGATATTTATTTATTTATTATTATTATTTATATTATGTATATAAAATCGTGATATTTGATGATAGTTTAGAAAGAGGATAGTTTGTTCATTACAATGATATGTTTTTCACGTTTTTACGACGCTCCGTTCAAAAGATACAGCATTTTCAAATTTTTTTTTATTCTTAATGAGAAATACATTTATACATAGTAATAGTAGTAGTAGTAGTAATGGAAAAGACTATTTACGTTTCAACTGATTAGTAGCGTAAAATCCAGGAATTTATATGGGTCACTGTGTCAATGAACCTTATCAATGAATTATCTAGGTCAAGAGATCAATGAATTTATCTTTCATTCGAATTGAAATATCTCGAGAATTAAAAGTCTTAGCGACTTTGAACACAGATCATTTTTAAAGAACACATTATTTTTCTCTCTCTCTCTCTACGCGCGTTGATATTATTTATAATTATTTAACAACACGTTGTGTAAACAATTTGTTTTCCACCAAATTCTTATGACAAATTTTTCTTTTATTTTTGAAAATAAAAGATGAATCGTAAGACACAAATTTATGATTCGTTTAATTATTAGACAAAATTATTCATTTTTTTAATAACAAGTTATAAATCATTTTGAAAGATTGATCGTTTGTTTCTAAACATTTATTATAAACAATTTAATTAAAAATAATTTTAAATATGACATAT